ATTGGGCTGTTTCTGTCTTTTGCCTTGCTGACTCTTGCCCCTTGCTCGTAGGTCTGGAGTTGTCTGGTTGCGTAGGAGCTGTCTCGCTGGGGCCTTCTGTTCCTTGGAGATCCAGAGGGCCCTGTAAGATGAAGAGGGTCCGCACCGTTTTCAAACCAGAGCAGCTGGAGCGGCTGGAGCAGGAATTCCTCAAACAGCAATACATGGTGGGCACGGAGCGGGTGGATCTGGCGGCCACCCTGCACCTCACAGAGACCCAGGTAGGACATCTACCCCCTTCCCCCGAGGCCATGAGCAATCTGGGATCTCTACATGGTCCCTGGGGTCAGGCAGAGATCCAGGCATGGTCCCTTCCTGGGACTGCAGCCAGAAATGACAGCAGGAGATGAGCCACCTAGCAAGTTTCAGGGCTTCTGTCTCTGTTACAGTGTGAGGAGCTCCCGTCAGAAGGAGCTGATTCTCCCCAGAAACGGGGAGGGTCCCTGGGGGTCTAGTCTCCCAAGGGAAATCCCATGACTAGGGATATTTAAAACTAGATGAGACAAAGCACAGGCAAATCATGATGCATAGCTAACCTGTGGCCCTGTCCTATAAGATATCACTGAGGCAGGAGGCAAAATAGGCTTAGAAATTTGCCTGAATAATAACAACCTCCACTGATGCATTTTTTGCCTACTTAATGGATGTATTTGGGGTATAGATGCTCCTGGTTGAGGGCCCAAGCCAGCCAAAGTGTTGTAGGTTAGAAAGACTCTTCCTGTATGGGAAGATTACTGTGCAATTGTCCAAATGGGGCCCTCGTTCCTCTGCAGCAGCGGATACTGGCCACAGCTGGAGACAGGAGACTGGAGTAGGTGGGCCACTGGTTTGATGCAGCCTGGCTATTCCTATTGTACTGCAAGGATCAGTTCTGAATTAGCTAGAGAAGGTGGACCAGATGAGCTCATTTTCCATCTCTAGTTTCTATGATTCTTGATTTTTGTCACTGTGCATGTGACCGTCATGGGGGCTGAGGGGCACAAAGACCTCTGGGAACCGGGGACTCTTTCCATGATCGCTGATTTGCGTCACTTTAAAGAAGGCCTAGGAGTCGGCCCCACCCTGCCAAGCCAGCAGCACTGTCCCCCAGGTCTTCTCCTGCTTTTGCTGATCATTGCTGTTCCTGGTTGGATGACCCAGAGGGAGCTTTGCCATTGACCTCATCAGGACAGGATCGGGCTTTATCTTAACCGGTCTAATCGCCCCTTCGTGCCGAGGTGGCTGGCACATGGGGCTGCTTAGGCCGGGGAGAGCTGCATTCAGACAGAGTCACATTTATTTTTATACCATTTTCATGCTCCTGCACCTCCAGATTGCACATTCCCATCCAGATTGAAACAGCTGCCTAGCTGGGGCACCCACGTATGGAATCTGCCAGCCGGTGGCGCCATGTCATAAGTCAAAGCACCGGAGATGGGACCACACTGTGCTCCTGAATCGTGCTGCAGCCCTTCTAAAGTCTAAGGGGCTCCCCCTGCTCCCATCAAAGCCAATGGCCAAACTCCTATTGGCTTTCATGGGGTGCAGCTAAAAAAACTCTGGTTAATCCGGTGTACGCTGCATGACCCAGGTTTTAACCAGAATGGCTGTTTTGCAGCTGGGTTCCCCCAGCGTGACAGTTACTGCAGTGTAGCCAGGATCCATGACTGCAGGGCTCACAAGCTTACAGATCGTGTCTCACTTTCCATGACAGACCCAGGGAGGGTAGCCGAGATTTGGCACTCAGAGCCTCTGCCTGCTGGGAACGACACCGCCGCTTATTTCATTTTAAACACAGTTCGGTTACACGGGGCGGGGCGGGGAAATTCTGGCCCCACTGAGCCGAATGAGAGTCTTGCCGCTGACTCAGTGCGGCCAGGATTTCACTCCTCATTTTGGGAAGTTTATAATTTAAAGACAGCACAATCAGGGTGAAGGTTTTGGGGAAGGAATTTGGGTCCGGTGGGTAAAGCCAGGGACGGGGAGTCAGGACTCTTGTGATCCGTTTCACTATTGTCTGTGTGCAGATGGCATGACTGCCATGTGACTCAGTTTCCCCATCTGTAAATCAGGGACAATACCACTTACCAACCTCGCTGGGCAGTTGGCAGGCTTAGGTAAATGTCTGTAAAGTGCTTTGAGAGCCTCAAAAGAAAGGAGCCACCGCTTTATTTATAACTATTATTAATAATCCTCATGGCCCATGTTGCCAAGAGCCTCTTAGCACCAAGTGCTTCTGCAGGTGAAATTCCAGGAGTCAAGGGGACTTGCCTGTGGAGGGATTACAGGAGTGGGCCCTGCTGACACTCTTTTAGCGCAGTTCAAAGACTTGCAGGGTCAGGGCTGTAATGCCCCCGAGCCTTGGCCCAGAGCGAATGGTTTTCATTGCCCGTTGTGCTGAATCTCTCCTAGGTGAAAGTCTGGTTCCAGAACCGGAGGATCAAATGGAGAAAGCAAAGCCTGGAGCAGAAGAAAGCAAAGCTGGCGCAGTTTGGAGGGACGCAGCCTCTTCCTACGGACTTGATGGACCTCGAGAACAACGAGGAAGACACGGTGGACGTGGAGGTCTAAGTGGCTTGAGAATTCCCTGCCGCAGACGTTGCTTTTGCAATGGAACGAGCGGGGGTTTACAGCTATGCCCAAGGAGAAGACTGACCAATGAAGCTAGCAGGGAGTTAAGCAGCTGCTCCACACATGCGCTTCTCCAGCTGGCTAAATAGATCAAGCTCTTTATCTGAATGCTGACGATACCGGACTGACCTGGCGCTGCCTAGGATGAGTCCGTGATATGCAACACCCACTGTCTGGCAACCTCATACTAGACACCCAGGGCCTGCTGCTCATCAGGTCAGTTGCGCACAGGCTGACCAGATAGCAAGTGTGAAAAATCGGGACAGTGGGTGGGGGGTAATAGGAGCCTATATAGGAAAAAGCCCCAAATATCGGGACTGTCCCTATAAAATCGGGACATCTGGTCACCCTAGTTCAGGGGTTCTCAGACTTTTGTACTGGTGACCCCTTTCACATACCAAGCCTCTGAGTGTGACCCCGCCCCCTTAAATATGTAAAAAAATGTTTTTAATGTATAACACCATTATAAATGCTGGAGGCAAGGCGGGGTTTGGGATGGAGGCTAACAGCTCGCGACCCCCCCATGTAATAATCTTGTGACCCCCTGAGGGGGCCCGACCCCCAGTTTGAGAACCCCTGCCCTAGTTGCACATGGGCAGCTTCCATGATAGGGCCGCAGTGTGTAAAACCAGATAACCCACAAGTCTTTCTTTTCTCTATTGAAATGCCAGAAAGCCTGGCCCCTTTCCAGCAGAAAGACTGGGGTTAAAATTAGAGACTGGGGAGAAGGGGGCAGTCATAGAGTTCAAATCCAGATCCAGACATCAGTGCATGTAAACGCAGTGCTGTTGTGATTTATCAGCCCCCCGGTGCTGCTGAGCTACCAGGTAGGGTAGCCCTGGCAGGGAGAGTGTTAAGAGAATCAGACTCATGACTTTTTTCCCTGGTAGCCTCCCTAGTTCATTTTATTTCCATGTCAAGTTTGAAGTTCAGATCTGCACAAAAAATACTCCACTAAAATTTGCAGTAAAGTAAAGGGGATCTGACCAAACTAAGGAGAAAAAAGTCCAGTTGGCCATAATTGAGGGCTTGATACTGCCACAAGCACAATTCTCATTGATTTCAATGGGAGCGCCGCTGCTGTCCCTATATACTGAACCCTGATTCTCATCTTATTTTCACCGATCCTCGACCGGTGTAACCCCATTATCTGCCATGGAGTTTTTCCTGGTTCACAGAGGCATGAGAGGAGACTCAGGTCCTTCCAGGTCAATGTAAGACTGCAGGATCAGTCCAAGGGGTAGTTTTCTGAAAGCTGTAAGCGCCTGTGGCTTAGAATGAAAGTGCCTTCAGGCAGCCCTCCTGCGTTGCTGCAATAAGGATTTGTACATTTTTGCCTCTCTCCTGGCCTGCAAAGCCCAGATCAAAGACCTCAGTCCACCCCTACGCACATATTGCATTACCTTTACCATGCAGAGGTGCGCTCAAGTGGCAAAATCTGGGCCTAGCTTTCAGTTACCTCTCTCCATAGGGCAGCGTTTGGATCTGGGATTTTGCTTCGGCCCATTATACAAATTTTGCTTTGGATTTCAAACACCGTCTTTATACCAAGCACGGTATTACCCCCAGCCCCAGCCACGCGCACACACTCATTATGACGCCAGCGGTAGTTGCTATGTTGTGTCTTCCATCTCTGCATTATGTACCGCGTGTCAGAGGAAACCGCATCTGGTGGTTTTGCCCCGTATCTCACAATAGAGCCAGCGATTGTATTTTTAACAGGAGAGCAAACTGGGTTTGTGACCGTTGAGGACAGGTGAGGCTCAATCCCTCTTCTCTTTCATTGTATTAGGTGTGCTTTGAGTGCACACTGCCAGCTGCTAAGGGCGCTCTTAGCACCCAAATGCTCAGTACCGTGGCTTACCGCCACGTGTGTTTGCTGAAGCCCAGTCAGGACTGCTCCAGGATATTGAAGCAGCTGGCTGCCTGGCAGTCGGCCCCAAATGCTCAGGATAATTTATTGTGCCTCTTTTTGAACCAGAACATTGTAAATAACGCGACTCTTGTATTATTTATAGACATAGCCCCGTTTCTTGGACACTGTAATTTATTTATTTGCTTCACATTCGACCATAATAAAAGCTAGTCGGTTTCAAAAGCGCTACAAAGGGATGGGAACTGGGAGGCGATATTTTCTTCCAAGCAAAGATGTGACTGGGTGGCTCGCAGGGGGATTGGAGCCTGTGGGTGATGGAGCTCAGACGCACCACCTTGGCAGATGGTTCATACGTTCAGTCAGATTCAGGATGCGATTTCCCATCACTGGTGCACTAGCCATTTTCCTTCTCGTTTCATCTACAAACCAGGATGACCCGTAAGAGGGAAGCCAGCCGAAGCGGTGGTTAGGGGCCATGGTATCACTGGCAAAGAACAAAAGACGGTAACGTGGGCCAGCCAAACCACTGAAAGGGTGATCTGCCTGCTGATTTTCCGCAGTGCCTCACACAACGGGGCCCTGATCTCTGATCCAAGTAACTCATAAAAAGAGAGTTGGTTCCTCAGACCTCTCTGGATTCCCTGATGCTCCCTCGGCCTCCAAGACCAGACCATTCAAACAGGCCCTTCAACCCTGTAGGAAAGGGCCCACCGCAATTCACAGGAGGTGATGCTCCACCCAGGCCATGTCCCCCTTTCTTCCAACCCCATCACAAATACTAGATCCAGCCTGGGACCAGCTGGGTGAGCTGAGTCAGAAACCACCCAGGCCAGGCCCATGGTCACCACAGCAACCATGAATTCCTGGGATGAGCCAGAAGTATCAATCCACTTGGGCACGCCTCATCGAACACCCTGAGGCTTGGTACCTCCAGGGAGGAGCCTGACCCACTCAGCAAGGAGCTCTTTGGTGTCTCAGGACCCCAGTTCTAGCCCAAACACTCATTTACATCTACCACTGGCCTGGGAGACTTCCTACACCCGCAATTTGGTGCAAAAACCACAGCCATGCGTCCTGCCCGCCTCCGCTCACCTCATGTTGCACCGTGCGCCTATAGACCTCCTGCTGCTGTAGCACAAACTCCTACCATTCAGGGTAAAGAAAAATCGCCATTAACTGTTAGCAGTGTAAGGCCTCTGATGCACTGTCAAGCCATTCTGAGCCCATCCAACAGAGGGCAGTCCCTTTCACACGTGTGACATTTCTTTAAAATGTATGTACACATCACCTGGAATATATTATGTCATGCTGCATTCTAAAGGTGTCACTACAAATTAGATCTGGTTGAAAAAAATGGGATTATATTCCCCATGGAGACAGGTTTATTATTCGGGGAGGAAGGGGGAAAAGGTAAAGGTATCATTTTTAATTTAAAATCTTTAAAGGGAAGGTTTCCTTCCCATTCCTGCCCCTTTTAAGCCCCTTACCCATCTCCCCCCACCCACCAATGGAAAATAAAAAAGTGTTAGGAAAATGGGGAAAATCCACTTTTACTCCTTTTTATTGTTTCCCAACTGACAAAACATCACTTTTAAACAATAAACAGGCTTCTACACATTTAACCCCTGTCACTATGGGACATACCCGTGAAGGTGTGAAAAATAGGTTGTCCCCCCCTCCTCCTCCCACACACAAATTGTTTTCCCAACTTCTGGCATTTGGAAAACAGTAGCACAGGGCTGGGAAGTAGGGAAAAAGCCCACAATTTCAAAACCAAAATACTTTGTTGCTGGGTTATTTTTTAAATTAAATTTCTCATTTTGAAAAATGTCAGGTTTCCCCCCCAACATTTTTTTTTAATGTCAACAAATTTCATTTAATGAAACTCTTATTTTCTGATGAAAAAGGTTTTTATTGGAAAATTTTTTTTGACCAGGAGCTCTCACTAAAGGAGCCAGTCAAGATCGGAGCCCCATTGTGCAAGGTGCTGTACAAACTTAAATGGAGAGACAGTCCCTGCCTTGAAGAGTTTACAGTCAAGAGCAAAGCAGAGTGGCAAATTCCTTTCAATCACTAGTTAAACTGGGCAGGGTTCATCCTAGTGGCTGCAGATGAAAAACTCTGTAGCTTATTAGCAGTGCTCTGAAGCAGCCAATTCCCCATAAGTGCTAATGTGACACCATTGAGAATCAAGTTACTTTCTGGAAAGGTGAGTTTATTAAATCAAGTTCTGACCTTTCTGGAACTCAGGCATGCCCTCCTGCTTTCTGTACAGGTTGGAAAATCTCCCACACACTGCTCAAAATCTCAAACATACTCTGTCTGCCACACCCTGCTCTTAAAGGCACAGCTCCTATTATAACAATCCCTAGCTCTTATATAGCACTTTTTCATCCATAGCTCTCAAAGCACTTTATAAAAGAGGTCAGAATCATTATCCCCATTTTACACGTGGGGAAACTGAGGCACATAGGTCAAATGAGCTGCCCAAGGTCACCCAACCAATAAGTGGCTGAGCCAGGAACACAGGGCTCCTGAGTCCCAGTCCAGTGCTCTTCACTAGGCCACACTGCCTTCCCATTAACCACCTATAAAGAAAGTCCAAGGCAGAAGAAACTACCAAAAATAAATATAACAATGACCTGTATCTGCCATGCATGTCTGTGCCACTTCGTGGATCATACCAACACTGGTATGTGCTCTGCCCCGCCCTCCCCAGCAGAAGGTTAGCACAAGACTAAACCCTATTTTGAGGCTTTAAGTAGGATGTAAGTGGGGTATCGGCCTTGTGATGCTCTCTGTATAGGGGGGAAATTCCCCTAGATGATCAAATAGGTCTGTTCCTTCTCCAATTTTTCTGATTACCAAGAGAGGTAACCTGGCACCTTTAGACTAGCATTCACAAGCTGCAGCCTGACGCAGGATGTCAGGTGTCAATGTGCTACTTACCTTGCTTCTTTGAAGACAGAGAGCTTGATCCGGAAAAGTGTCCTGAGTTCACTCACTAATGCCATTGGGAATTAAGGGCAACTCAGCACTTTACAAGAAGGTGCTAAGACCTTGGTAGATTTGAGCCCTAATTTGACTGAACTTTTTCTGAACGTCGGTGGCCAGCCAGAAAGCCTGCAGCGACACCTAATGCCCAAAGAGCGGCCATGCTACCGAGCTCTGGGTTTGACTGAGTCAGGGGAAAAGAGTTCAAGTTTCTTAAAGGGACATGCAAAGGCAACTCTCATAGCAGCCGGAGCTCAGCACAAGTGCAGTGTAGCACATCATCCTTTGGTATCAGCTGGGGGTGGGAGAGAGCCAACAGAAGGCCAGTTCGCTTCAAGAGCGGGTGAGGCCCAGTTAACGCCATGAAAACGGGCTGCCATCACGGTGATTTTCTTATGATGCCGTGCTGCAATTGTTGCCCCAGGAACAGAGGCGGATTAAGATTTATTGGGGCCCTGGGCACAAAAAATATTTGGCCTCCCCACACTCTGGGGGCCCAGGGCTCCAGAACCAGGGGGAGCCATGCCCCCACCCACTTTTTAACATGGGCGTAGTACCCTCGGGCAGGCGTGGAGCAGCGGCGGCATGGGCATAGTTTCGGGAGGACGGGGATGTTGCCCCCCCAAACTGTAAGCCTCGGGTCACAGGTGACAGGAGGAGGGGAGCCGCATGTGGTTGCTACCAGGTCCTTGCTGCCGGTGACAAGCTCCACACTGCCTCCCAGGCCGGGGCAGGGCCTCTTCTCCCCTCAGAGCATGTCTGTAGGGCCCAGGGAGAGGGCAGGAGGCTGGCCTGGAACCCCCACCCCTGGGTGCCACCGGTAGTGGCATACCCCAGGGGGCGGGGACACAGGCTGGGGGCTGCCCTTGGGCACCCTGACCTCTTCCTAGGGGAGGTGGAGGGTCCACATTAATCTGCCACTGCCCAGGAAACTGCATCCTTGCTTGTCCCTGTGGTGAGATATGGAGTTCAGTGGCCAGTGCCACCCTTTGGCTTCTTTAGTGTACAGCAAAAACCTGAACGGACTGTGTTGCCAACTCTTGTAACTTTATTGGGAGCGTTGAGATATTTGGGGTGGTTTTTTTAAAGTCCCAGCTCCTGGAGTCATATGATTAGGTGAGAATCTCAG